CTGCCATGTCTCGTTATTGGCAATATGCCCTCTGTCTGGCGCCACATGGCTGATATATTCGCATGAGCCAGTCATGTTGTACCGCATACATTGGGCCACGTAGATCGCACATCGAGGGTACAACAGTGTGCCGTTTGGCACTTACTTCGGCATGCATGTACAGTTGTGACGCAGTACGATAGTAATTACCCAGCGCGAGCGAGAATACGTTGGTCAGGGAGAGAATGCCGTTGATGAGGAGGGCAATTGTGGCGTGGTGCGGTCTGGGGAGACTGTGTCATCGGTTTGGTGGACGTGCTGCAGCATCTCCTGGTGGCTCGCACGGCAGAGACTGCCGCCTCTTGGCGTTCTGACCCCGGCGAATGACCGTGTGAGGAGTCGGAGACCTTCCCGTACCCCGTCTGGCTGTCCCTGGCCGTGCAGCAGCCCCCCGCGGCGGCTGCGTTCGACGTGCTCGAGATCCCGGTGAAGCTTTATGTGGACGGCCTCGAGTCTCAGCCTCAGTCGTGGCCAGACGGCACGAGATAGCAAGGGGGAGAGGAGGGCGAGCAGGGCGGGGGAGGACTTTGGAGGATGCGAGGACGAGCGGCAGCAGCAACCTCGGGCGAACAGAAAGGGTGGGAGACGAGGAGGAACAGCATAACACAGGTGATCAACAGCAGGAGCAAGCAGTAAGAGATGAAGAAGGAGGACGAGAAGGAAGATAATGATGGGAAGGATCGGCGGCGAGCCTTGGGGGGAAAAGTGAGAAGGGGGCATGCGGCATGCCTTCTGAGAAGGCAGCGGGACTTCTCAGAGGCCCTCGCGCCTTTGAAAAGCCGTGGCCTGGAAGACTTCTTATGGGGCGCGATCCCCTGGCGACAACGAACGGGGTGAGGGGGCACATCACGATTCACGCCGGAACCGCCTGGCTTATGCCCACGTTGCGCCTGCGCGAATCGTGACGTGACCAGGGAGAAGAGATGGGGGGGGGCGTGGCGGATCTTCGCGAATAGCAGGGAACGGGTTCCTGCAAGCTCTCGCCTCTCCAGAGGGCTCGCCGCCGACAGGAGCAAGGCTGGGAGGGGGCCTCGGAGGAGGAATCTGGGCCCTTCCCTCGTCGGTCAACGAGCCAGGCGAGATTCGATGGGCGGCGGGGGCAGGGTTCGGAATTCGTCGAACACCCGGCGACATCCGAACCCTACCCCCATTGCGCGCCACTTAACGGAGGGGCAATGCATGGAGGGGGGGAAGGGTACCCTTTTCGGGCCCTAAAAGCCCCCTCTCTGGATCCGAAAGGGCTCCTTTAGGGGCCCCAGAGGGGAGAGCCCCTTTCGGCACCCCTCGCTGCTCCCCCATTGATCGCCCCCTGCGACAGCCGTGAACATTTTAATTTGTTGTGTCTTGTTTTGTTGTTGTTGTTGTTGTTGTTGTTGTTGTTGTTGTTGGTGTTGGTGTTGTTGTTGTTGTTGTTGTTGTTGTTGTTGTTGTTGTTGTTGTTGTTGTTGTTGTTGTTGTTGTTGTTGTTGTGTGTGTGTGTGTGTTTCGTCTTCGTTTCCTCCTCTTCCTCGCCTTTTCCTATTTTTCTGTCCTTGCTTCCTGCTCGTTCCCGTTCTCTTTCTTCTCGTTTTCGCTTTGTTGTTTGTTTCGTTTCTTGCTCTGTGCGCTGCCTGCTTCTGCTGTCGCTCGTCGTTTTTTTTTCCCCCCCCTGGCTTGTCCTCGTTCCCCTCCGTCTGGCCGCCTGCGTGGAGCGCAGGGCGCGCGCGCGCTGCGCGTTTGCCGTGCTCGTGGGCTTGTGCCCTTCATTTATCGCCGCCCAGCCCCCGCCTCCCATCGACTCGGGAGAATCGATGGCTGGTTGGGGGGTAGGGTTCGGATGTCGCCACCTCGTCAGGGGGTGGGCGCGGCCCGGCCGCGTGCGGGAGAAGGAGCGGGAGAAGGAGCAGGAGCAGGAGCAGGAGCAGGAGGAGGAGGAGGAGGAGGAGGAGGAGGAGGAGGGGGAGGCGAGGGAGGAGGAGGAGAGGAGGAGGCGGAGGAGGGAGGAAGAGGAGAGGAGGAGGGGAGGAGGAGGAGGAGGGGAGGAGGAGGAGGAGGAGGGGAGGAGGAGGAGGAGGATGAGGAGGTGGAGGGAGGAGGAGGATGGGGGAGGCAGAGGGAGGAGGAGGAGGAAGGAGGCGGAGGAGGAGGGGGAGGGAGGGGAGGAGGAGGGGGGGAGGAGGAGAGGAGGAGGAGTGGAGGAGGAGGAGGGGGGGGGGGAGGAGGAGGGGAGGAGTGGGTGGGGGGCGGAGCCGCCACAGAGCTGGCGCCGAGGCCTGGGCAGACCCGGGTGGAGGCGCCCAGCGTGCGTGCCGCCGCCGCTCCTCTGGCTCGGGGGTGGCCAAGAGATAGGGTTAAGTCGGGCGCGTCCCTCTACAGGAGGAAAATTCATAAGTAGACAAAATAGTCAGGGGAAGATTTTTCTATCATGCTTGATGTCTTGGTATTGTTTGAGTATGTTTCATAGTTGTTTCAAAATACGCCTGCTCATGTTTATGCAGTTGCTTATTATTCTTCTATGTTCGGGGCGGCCGAGAGAGGGTTTCGGATGCATCTCCTGGGAGGTGTAGTTCTGACTTTGCTCTGGTCCGAAATCCGCATTAATCCCTCGTAAACGCCGCTGGATCCGATTTAATCCGGCCTAGTCCCGCTCAGTCCCGCGGAATCCGCGGCCGAATCCGGCGCAGCAGCCCCCCAAACGGGGCTGAGTTCGTTTTAATTCTTCCGACGAAGACCTTCCAGTAGTTGCCTCCTGAGGGGGTGATGGCTAAGGGGTGGGCGGATGGAGGCGTGTTCTTTCTAGTTCTGACAAGCTGCAGGGGGGGGACAAAAACATACAAACATAATGCATCGTCGACTCCCAGGATAACAGTGAAACATATGGCAAGTGGGGGGGAAGACGAACACCCAGAAAATATTGAAAATATGTGGAATCCTGGGAATGGTGTGTATTCACTTGTGTGTCCCTGGGCCCTTTCAAAGTTTCTCTTTGCATGGGGGGCGAGGCGTGGCCCTTCACGCAAGTCGGGGCCAGCTTGCACGCCTTCTCGGCCCAGCGCTGCTTGAAGAGGCGGCGGAGGTCAGCCACGCGCAGAGGGGGGTGGGGGGAGGGGGGAGGGCTTCTTAGAAGCACCCCGGCTTCTTAGAAGGCGCGGGCCTTATCGATAGATGTAAGGCCGGCGCCTTCTAAGAAGCAGCCTACTTCTAAGAAGCCCTCCCCTCCCTCCACCCCCTTGTGCGCGCCGCCAAGAAGGGGGGGATGCCATGCAAGTAAAAATGCCTGCGCCTCATAGAGGCTGTTTTTTTTTCAGGTTCTTGCGAGAGCCCGGGTTATCGGGCCCACCCCCTCCTCCTCCGGACAGCCTTCCTTTCTTCGTCGGTTGCGCAGGTCCGAGTGTAGGCAGTATTGGTGCGCGCGGGCATACGTGGGGCTGCCCAAAGCGAAAAGGTTAGGTTGTCGGCCAGCACCTCCCCCCCCCAGCGGATAGCTCAGGCTATCTCTAGCGATAACGGGCGTGGCGGAGGGGGGGAGGGGGGAGGGAGTGGCCAGTCACGTTTCGATTCGCGCCGACACTGTATTGGAATGCTTAGAAATGGTTCATTCAGACGGCGCTGGCGCGAATCGTGACGTGGCAGGGATGGGTAATAGGGGGGGGGCTAAGGACGGTCACGGGTGTCATCGCGGTTAATTCAAAAACTACAGGGGTTCGGAGGAGTAGATGGTGTCGGAGGATCGCGCTGTATAGCCGATGCATCGTCGATGCGGCTCGATGTGGAGCCCGATTTTCTCTACGCCGACGGCACCGATGCACCGCTGACCTCGCGGATGCATCACCGATGCATCGGCGATGCATCAGCTTTGCAGCGCGATCTTCCGACCAGGTTACTCAGACCCAATTTGGAAGGCCGCTAGTTAATGGGGGGGGTGATGGGGGTGGATATCATTGGTGGGGCCATGAATCTCCCAAGATTTCATGGTCCCCTCTTCTTCCTTCATGCGTCCACTGGTCACCTCCTCGTCCACGCAAATGCCCCGGGACATGATTTGCCACCCCCCTTCTTAGACGCCCTTCTCTTGGATGCCCCCGGCTCCGCTCTCTTGGCACACGGAGAAGACGGAGGTTCGAGGATCGAGGTTTTTGAATTTTGGTGTGGTTCGAGAAGACAGCGAGTCATTTTGAATCCTTTCGGGGGTATTTGGGAGGCTTCTCGTCGCCAAGCCAAAACGCAACCAAGGAGAGCAGGATATTTCCAGGGAGCGTTCGTTGAGGTCCAGACGGGCTCACGGGGTCGCCGAAGGTGTTTCTTGCCCAGCCCATTTGGAGCCCCATGGGGCCTTCTGGGCCTCGTGAGGGGTGCTTTGGAGGTCTTTGGACCTCCAGGGGAAAATTGGGGCCACCGTGGGCAACACAACATCATAAGGGAGAGTCCTACAGCAAAACGCCCAGTGTGCCTTCCACCAGATGCTATGTCAATCGGCAAGGGCGCGACAGAAACTGCGACGATGGACGAGGCGCCTTGTTCTCAGGCAGCAGGAGTTCCAACGTCTTCTCGCCCGTCGCCTTCGATTTTCCATCAGGCCATTTCGCCGGGCACAACGGCGCTTCGGAGCGTCATCGTCTATGTTAGGGATCATCCCCTCCTGGGGCATCATGTGCCGCCTGCCATTTCTCCCTCGCCGTTCCTGCTCGTCTACATCCCCCGCTGGCAACTCGTTCATCCTCCTCGTCTTCCTTCCCCGTGGGCGGTCTTCCGCACAGGGCTGAATGATCTGGTTGGTCTGGCGGTCCGAGCAGTCTTTCCTGTCCTGCCGGTTTCGGCCAGCTTTGAGTGGGGGGAATGGTTTAGGTTTGTTTGGATGGAGGGTCAACTTTTGCCCCCGCTGGTCGTGTTGGCGCGACGGGCCTGCTGTTTTCTTTGGTCCGGCTGGTTGAGTGCTCTTGGCTTGGACGGTCAGGCTGCGACGGTTGGCTCTGCCCGCAAGGATGGCCAGGCGGGCTTACTTGGTCCGCTCCCTCTGGCTGACTGGACCCTCCGCGGTCGCCTCGGTCATTTTCCATTCGATGTGCTGCCAGGCGATGACGCTCAGACTTGAAAGATCGGCGCCCCTGGACCGACGTTTCAACCTGAGACAGGGCCATGTTTTTCAAATCGGAAAAGGCCCATCTTTAAGTCGCCCAAACTGCCTCACTTTTTCAAAGATGAACAAGTGGTTTTGAAAAGGAGCGGCTTAAATTTGACAGAGGGCAGAGTTCCATTGAAACGCCGCCAGTTTCAAATTGAAACGCGGGCCCCGGGTTGCCCCATGTTGCGCGGGCTATGTTCTAAGCCGCTCGAAGCGAAGAAAAGGTCTTGTGCCCCAGCGCCTTCCTTCGATTTGGGGCAAAAGAACTGATATGGCTGTTGATGTTCCCTCCCTTTCCACCGTCCTGTCTGCCGCAGCCGGACTTGACGCAGCAGCGCTGTCGGTCCCCGCCCCGGGCGACGCAAGTGGCAGGAGGATGACGACGACGTTGACGACGACAATGATGACGAGGACGAAGATGACGACGACGACGATGACGACGACGACGACGAGGAAGTCGAGGGCGAGGATGACGACGACGACAACGACGTCTATTGTTGTTGGGTTCGGCCCTTCCAGAGCAGATGCAAAACAACTGCAGTGCAACAAAACCGCAATGCAAAACAACTGCAAAGCCAAATAACTGCAATGCAAAAGAAACTGTTGCTCGGCTGTCGGAGTGGTAGGCGCTGCCTCCCTGAAACTGCCCTAAACCGCTCTCGCTCGAGTGCGAAGCGAAGGCTCGAGCACGAAGCTCCAACCAGACCAACCAGACCAGCCAGTCCAGATGCAACATCAAACTGCAATGCAACAAACACTGCAATGCAGAACA